TACCATATAATAAAAAAGGGAATATGTACTTTTCTAGATTGATTTTCAGAAAACCGATGCAATCTTTAACGAAAGAAAACTGTGTGAAGTATAGCGTGTGGAATATAAGTTGCCTCAGATAAAAATTCACGAGAAACTACGTTATAAACTCTTTAAGGTGACGAACATAGACTGATAACAATATAACCTTTCAAACAAAAGTGAGTGAGTGTGTTGCAAAATGAATTTTATTGACCTCCACTCGATCAATAGGAATGCAATTTATTAGACAGACGAGTAACGCGCGCTGTTTCATGCGAGTGAGCGGATGGTGCTGTGAGTACCCAAAACAAATGTGTGTGAAATTACCAAACAGTGTGAAACTGATTTATAGTTATTGAGTGGAGATTTAGATGGTGCTAAAATAAATTATCAGATGATTACGAAGAAACAGTAGTCTATTATCCGAGGACCGAATTCATGAAAAACATTAACAGTGAATTTAAAGTGATCGATTAGTCACCGCATTCCATGTCCGCTTGGATGTAATGCAGCAGCGTGGGCGCACCGTGCGAACAATTGGCGGTGAGTGGGTAGTTTGAGAGCAGATGACGCCCGTGTAATTTGGGGGCGCGACGGGAGCCCGGCTTGGGACCTCAGCGAAACTATAGCGAGTATTCCGTATGAAAATGAAATAATATTAATTGGGGATTTTAATAGCAGAGTAGGTAATAGAAAATGGAATGCACAATATAGATACATATATGACATTTATTGACCTGAAAACGGCTATGACAGTGTTCCAAGATATAAAATTTGGCCAACAATGAAAAGACTGAATGTGCAACAAAAATGGACTAATTTAGTTACAACAATGTACCAGAATACTGAAGCGTGCATTAAAATGGGGAGGAAAATTACCCGAAGCATTAGAACTACCAAAGGGTTAAAGCAAGGGTGTAGTTTATCACCACTTCTCTTTAATATATATATATATATATATATATATATATATATATATATATATGGAACAAGCTTTGGAAACTTGGTACAAGAAATGTTCTCAAATGGGAATTCCCATAAATGACAAGTGCTTACATTCTCTGCTTCTTGCAGATGATCAGGTAATTATGGCAGCAGATCAGGAAGATATGGAGTATATGCTTCGCAAATTAAAAGAAGACTACGAAAAATGGGGACTTATAATCTACCTTAGAAATACAGAATATTTATGAATAGGAGGAGATGCCTCTAATATTAATGTTGCAGTTGACGAGATAGCTAACGTTTCGAAATTTAAATATCTTGGGACTGTAATTACTGACGATGGGAAAACTGATGAAGATATAACTACTAGACTCGCAATGGGGAGGAATGCAATCAAATCTCTGCATGGCCTTATATGGAATAGTGCTTTAAGGCAAGACACAAAACGACACATATTCCACAGTATCGTGGAAACTATTATGTTTTATGGAGCAGAAATGTGGCCGTTAACAAAACGCCGTAGAGACAGAATACGGTCGGTAGAGCTCGACTTTATGAGAAAATCTTTGCAGATAACAAGACTGGATAAAATAAGAAACGAAGTGGTGTGGGAAAGAGCTGGTGTTCAAACAACCATAACCAGAAGACTAGAAAATAAAGCTCTTCATTGGTATGGACAGGTCCAGAGAATGCGAAATGAGAGATGGCCAAAAAATTTTTAAATTAGATACATGAAAGAAGACGAAGAAGAGGTAGACCTGGTTTAACGTGGAAGACATATACATGAAGTAATGGAGGAGAAAGGATTGGAAGAGGGTCAATGGGAGGACCGAGAATTATGAAAATCGAAAACGGCAAACTCTATGGGGTAGAAACCGTCGAAGAAGTGAAGAAGTGTATGATGTACTAAGACTATCACAAGAATAAGTTGAAATCGGAATACAGATATAAATACGCATTTGGGCTAGGAGCAACAGTGCGTTGCTCGCTTCTTGGTTGAATTGGACGATTTCAAGTAAAAGTTGAAGCGTTAGTAGCGGAAAAAATACAATATTTCAGTACTATGTAGCCGTTTTCTATAACGCGAGAAAGTATGTACTATATTAGCACCACTAGTTTTATAATTCGCATTAATTTAAGAGAAATTAGTATGTATTATATTAATATACAGGTGAGTCAAGAGGAAAGGTACATGTTTGAGGGGTAATAGTGTGGCTACTGGTGATTCTAAACAAAAAAGTAATAATCATATACACTTTTCTTAACCGTCTCAGGGCAAACCAATAAAAACAACTGGGAACGGGAAAGTTTAGCGTCCTCTTTACTAACCATTTCGGTACGCTGTTCTTTAGCGCATGGAGCAGTTGTTTACATCAAGTCGCATTCCGACAGTGTTTGTCGTAGTGAACGATACTTCAGTGTTGTTGTTACGTGAAATATTATAGTTTAGTGTAGTGAATACGCCACGGATCTTCCCACGTGCATAGTATGCTTACATGATGTTTGTGTATGGTTTGTCCAATGGGCCTCCCAGAGCTGCTGTTCGAGAATACCTCGATTTCCTAATCGCAGAGTGCCAGATAGCAGGATGTTTGGCAAGATATTTCACAGATTGCAGGAGCGGAGTACCCTTCTCTGCGTAAATGTTGTATCTGAACGTCCAGTACAAACACTTAATGAAGTTGAGAACATTCTTCAGTGAGTGGAACGCAGCCCAACTCCTAGCTGTAAAAGAATTGCTGCTCAACTTGATATTCCACAAACACGAGCGCACAGTACACATCCATTTCATCGGCAGAGCGTACAACATCTGCACGCACGAGATAATGCAGACCGGCAAGAATTCTGTCAATGGATCTTTGCCAATTATCGATTTTTTCCATGTTTTCTGTTCACTGATGAGTCAACATTTACCCGCAATGGAATTAACAATACGCGCAACTCTCACGTATGGGCAGATGAAAATCTACACGCTACTGCGGAAACGAATTTTTAACGACGTTTTTCAGTCAACGTGTGGTGCGGTATTATTGATGACCAACTCATCGGTCCAGTTGGTTTAGATAACAGTTTCAATAGATCACGGAATCATGATTTTCTTCAAAATGTGTTACCAGAAGACGTGAAGGATACCCCTTTGGCAACACGAGCTCGAATCTTTTTTAGCATAACGGAGCTCCTGCACATTCTGTCCGCACAAGTAAGTGAACCAATCGTATCCTGGTCGTTGGATCGGTCGCCGCGGGGTCATTGCTTGGCCACGAAGGTCACCCGATCTTACCCCATCAGATTACTGTTTGAGGGGGTTGGCTTAAGAGCGACGTCTACCAGCGCGGAGTGGACACAAGAAAGGCTCGCACGTGTTTTACATGCTTGTACTCAAGAAAAGAAATTTAAAAAGTAGCTCAGAACAGTATCAGCAACACAACACCTATCAAGAAGAGCAACAAAATTCATTGAATTTGACGGTCGACTGTTTAAAAATCTTTTGTGAGGAAACTTACACCATTAAACAAACCATAACACAATAGTATCTTCATTTAATGTCACCTGCACTTTTCCTGTTTCTAGTTATTAGTTTCCCCTAAAATGGTTAAGAAAAGAGTATATGTTTATTGGAAGTTTTTTGTTCATAAACTTTCAAACTTCAATTGCTGTTAAACCCTAAACAGTGAATATAGTACCTATGCCAGCTTCATGAGTGTGTCTCACTCTATTCCGAAAACTGAAATTTGGAGAGAAAAATTGGAACAATTTTTGATAAAATTTTGGAAATGTTCTATGAACTTCGTGTGAAGTACACCCAAAATTTAAAGAATTTAAAGAACAAAAATTGGAAATTGTGCATCGTATTTCTACAATGTCATGGACGAAATCGAGGCAAAAGGGTGAAGAAACGTTCGAATCTATCCTTAAAATGCCAATTTGGACTCAATACTCCCATAGAAACCTTTTAAAATGCGAAAAATTCATTATTGGCAGAAAACAGGTAAAAATATACGAAGTTAACCTGGTGAAATGCCGCCAAGTCGGAAGCGATCCCTCCTCTAATCGCCTAAAAATATATTTGAAGGAATGAAAATACGCAAATAAAAAGAACTCATGAATTATGATCCAGAAGTGTAGATGCCCCTCCTCTTATTTTAGTCTGCGCACGCCTATGGCTGTGAGATTCATGCCTCCAACTGTTTATTTTCTGGAAGGGGCCCTCGTAGGCTATCGGTCAATAGAAGATGCGCGTGCCTCTAATGCTGCGTGCACAGCAGACTTGGAGGTTGGCGCACGCGCACCGGAACCGCCTCCCTACCCGTCCACCGGGCCACTAGCCACCGGAGCGAGCATGGGCCAGCCGCGGCCACCGCTGGAAATGGGCAGCCTGGCGCCCGGAAAGACAAAAACGTTGGCGACTGAGATTGTGCGCTATTAGAGACTGTTATTGTAACCGTTACGCTGACCACGCCAAGTGCTTCGTTATTCTGTTGGCTGATTGTTGATTAGGATATGAAATGGTACATCTGGTAATACGGCGAGCGGCTTAGACCTTGGTACGTTCTTTTCTTGTGAGTGGGATACCTGGCATTGTTATTGTATGATCGGACAGTGGCTTTTGGATTATAACGCTGGAAAAACTTAACTGTTTTTGTAGAAACATCTGGCTCCCTACTTTTTGGTACCTTTCAGATAATTCTACGGTTCGGCTATAAAAAAGGTATCGTTATTAAACTTATGGAAGAATTTTCACTGGAGTAGTTACCTTCGTAAGGGTTATGAATCGAAAGTTTCTAAGAAGGGATTCCTTAGAATGATTGATGCTTATATAAAATAAGAGATGCCTTTCTAAAACATGTATAAATTATATAATATGTAAATTTATAAAACATCACAAATATAAACTTTTTTAAAAAACAACAATTTCTACAGGAAATATACTACAGTTCAACATTTATGCAACGTTTGAATGTTTACTATGATTTACCTTAGGTGATGTGAAATTTATTTTCACGTCAGAGTTAGACAAAAACAGTTATATTTACCGCTGCAGCGCCTCCCAAAAATCCTACCAGTAGCATAACATAAATAGGTGCAAATACAGCAGCTACTGTTAAGAAATTGATGACACCACAGGCCACTACGGCAGGGCCCACAATCCAACGACCACCAAACCTTTCGGCCAAGTACCCGCCGATGAATTGTGTGCTCACGTATCCAATTGAGTGCACGTACAGTATACTCATTATTTGGTGACGACTATAGCGAATCTTGTCAGCAATCTACAATAAAGTATGAAAATGTATAAATAAATTGAAGATAATGTTTTGTCTTCTATTACATTCCAGAGTAATAAAAGAAGACAAACCTTGAGATATTATGATTTAATAATATGTTTTGATACAAAAACCCATATTTTTAACCCAAAAGTAGGTAAAAACTACAAATATTTGGCCAAAAGTGTTTTTGAAACAAATTTACAGTCTAGTAATGAAGAATATATTGCATCGAGAAATAAACCTTAGCTTAAATATTGAAGGAGCGAGACAGGTTCCAAAAAGTTGACGTTTCGCAATTATTGAAATACCAGAGGATTTAATGAAAATATGGCATACACTATATTCACAAGTAAATGAATTAGTATTACACAAGTATTCGAAAACGTATCCGTATTTCAGTCAAGTGAAGCAAAAAACTTGAAGAAAACCTTGAAGTGGGTTTGAAAAAATCTAGTTAAGATACTATTTCTAAAGGTTTTCACGATTTGATTCAGAAAAACAAGAAAAATACTCACCGTCTGAAAAAAAAGTTATATAACATTATTATTAAAGATCTACTTTTTGAAGAACAAACTTCATTTTGAAATTGATATTTCACTTCAATAATATAGTTGTACGAGTGTCGAAAAGTTTAAACTTATTGCAGCTTTTTTATCGTTCAGAAATTTTGAAGAAAATCACACCAATACCACTATTGTAAGAGCACTTTCCTCCATTCGTATGAAAAGTTGAAAATTAAAATTTTGGGAAGACTTGAACAATGCCCAAATCTTGGAAAAAAATTAAAGTTCCGTTTCAAATTTTCAAGACTTTAGAGTTTGTCTAGATTGATGTGTGGATGTCCATTCTGGGGGAAGTCCTGTTCTTATTGGCTATGTGTAAGTAACCTTTGTGTACGTCTATTTTTTTTACTGTAGTTGCGTGCAGCTGAATGGATAATTCTTATTTATCCCACTGTAAATATCTTTTGTGAGGAGAAATGAATTCTGCGTATATATTTGAGGGAAGGATTTTGTTCAAAATAAGAGGTCCGCATGGGTCTACTGTCCAAGGCGTTTGGTTTTCTCTGGGTGCCCCACTGGGTGCAACGTTTTATTCAATTGTAGCATTTTATTTGCTGATATTTTTATTAAAACATTATTAAATATTATACTTATAAAGTATCTCTATGAAGTGAGTGAAATTTCGGACGGGAGACCTCAAACTAAAACCAACTAAAAACAAATTTTACTCTTCTATGATATTCTGACAGTCGCATTTCAAATTTACTATTAGAGAACAGAATTATTGAACAAAATGTTAGAAAATGTAAGTCTTGGAGTTACAAAAATATTTTCTCAATATAAAATTCATATTATTTATATTAAATATATGGAAGTAAACTAAATCGTTGTGTTGAATGATACGTGCTGTAAATATTACGTTTTGCAACATTTTATGTAGAGTTGAGAATATAATTCATTACAGAGTGTGATGAAAGATGTTGTTGCCAAAGTAACTCTCTTTGAAATTGTTGCTTTAAACAAATTGTTCAGAGTTATTCAGAAAAATAGATTTAATATTACAGAGCATATTAAAGTTAAAGCATATTAAAGAAAATATTAAAGCCACATAGGGCCGACAAGGTTAGTTTGAGTTTTATTATTGACATTATCAAAGGATTATGTTACAGAGCAATAACACCTTTACAATTAGTATTCTACGGGCAAGAGATCTGGGTTTGTGAGACAGGGGCTTAGGGTAGGTGAACACCAAGACCGTATGTTCGAAACACCAATAAGATATTTTTAATTTTTTCAGGTATTTGGGGCGTGGGTTCCAGTCTCTTGTGAATTATGTCTACATCATAATCCTTCCATATTATTTTGGTCTGACTGGTAACTGTGTGCAATCAGTGAGTTTAATGAGGAACTTTATCCCACACTGAGAACATTGTTACGAGCACAGGAACGGGATGTGTCTATGACTTGTTTGCAGTGCTCAGAGGCGCGGAAGGTATCACGAGCGACCTAGTAGTCTTTGAGATTCCCAAGATTATCAGACCGGTAGGGAGCTTAGAGCTTGTCCTGACACGGGCGGTGCCCCGCTGATAGGAGATACCTAGTTGGGGAAGCCCCGCTAGCCGACGGTAGGTCGACGCGGATCTCGCCATATAGCGAGGGAAAGATCACCGCCACCTCCTAAGCAAAAACACGCACTACACTTACCGTACTGATAACCCTATTTGTTGGCGTGCTCGGAGTTTTTAAAAAATCAATCAAGCTACTTTTAAAATTACGATAACGCTTTTCACGAGTTCTAATTTCTTTTCCCCATCAGCCCTTTGTAGGGAGACCGCCCGGTCGCTTATTCCTAGCGCCTGCCTTGTTGATGGGAGTGCGGCTTCGGACCCCTTCGACCACGTTAGTGAATCATTTACGTTGCAAACTTCTAACACACCTCATAGACACTGCAGCAATTGACCTGGTTGCTCTATTGGCGCCTTTGGTAGCAATGTTCTCGAACTCTTTACATTTGAAGCATTTCGCACATTTATCTCTGTGATCCCAAACTTTTGCTACTCAGTCCCACACGTGAAATTATGTCTCTTCTTGCATTTGTCTTCGCCTCTGCTCCATTGGGCTAGCTGTCGTCTCTCTTGGTTTTCTCCTCAGTCAAGTTTCTTCAATTTATACTTTACTAGAACTGGTCAGTTCCTAAACTCTCACTCCAATTTACTGGATGACGGCGTACAGACGGCGGGGGGTCAGAGGTAAATTGTCCCAGATCCCGACTTAACAGGGGTTGGTTTGTCATTCCCTAATTATAATGTTTCATTCCCATTTTTGAATTCTCACTAACCTCTATTTTTTCCATTCAAAACAGATAGAAAATGTTTATTTACTCCTAATTCAAATTTGCCGCTATAACGCTCGTTGCTCACACCCAGATGTCTACCAGTCATTCGACCAAATACACAAACGACCAACTTCATCTGTCTTCTCACCGGAACTGCCCCTTTGCCTCCAAACCATAACGTCTTTCGATCAGGGCGCTATTCCATGGCTATCACTGGTATAGGACACTTCAGAAAACTTTGATATTATCCCTTAACTTAATATTACTGTGTGCGCTTCTTATTCTACGTCATGTTAACCCCTCACACTGCCATTTCCACCTACATCAAATGATTACATCTTGAGCGTCCTTTGTAGATTAGCACAGCCTCGGTACTATATTATTTTATAAACGCATTGATAGTATTATCTGTATACACTCCATCCTCATTTTCTTTAATATCAGTTTTTCATTTGAAAAAGCATAGATTTAATATCAGTTTATCATTTGAACAGCACAACAGTATTGTTTAGGCTACTCTTAAAACAAACTCTTTAAACCTAATACTTCTTAGATATCGACAACAACTTAAAATTTTTTTGTGTATTTGAACTTTAAACGTAAGAGTTATTTAAGTATATATTTAGTATTTCAGGAATATCTACCTTGATGGGTCAATATTATTTCGAAAGTCATAAAAATGTCTTACTTGTTTTGAAGATTTCAGTGAGTCATTCAGGCCATCGAAACACACATCTGATGTTGGAAGATCGTCTATTGACGGTATCTTCCGCGTCAATCCGAGAAATCCCACCATCATACTTAATCTCATGAGATATTGTGTGAAGATTGAGAAGAAGATAAGGATTCCCATTATGTGCCTTGCAGGAAATTGTTTCAGATATACTGAAAAACATTTAAAGGATAAATTATTAGTAGTAGTCGTAGTCATAGCGCAATCGCAATCTTTGTCGTAGACGTACTGGCAGCTGTAGCGGCAGGAGTAGCTGTAGTGACATCTGAAGCAACAAACGAAGCCGTAGAATTTGCCGAAACTTTAGGAAGTAGTGGTAGTAGTAGCGGTATCCGTAGCAGCAGCAGTCGTAGTGATAGTGGTAGAAGTAGTAGAAGTAGTGGTGATGGTGGTAGTATGGTATGGTATGTTGGTGCAATGGTGGTGGTATGGTGATCGTATAGTGGTAAGATGGTATGGTCATCGTAGTAGTAGCAATAGTAATATTAATAGTAATAATAGTAGTGGTGGTAGTGGTAATGGTAAAGCAAAGCAAATGGGGCCGCGGTAGCGGCCCAGCGGTGCGCCGGAGTGAATACGGGAGAGGCCGGTGGCACACTGAAAGAGGCCGGCAGGGCTGCGTTCTCAGTAATGGAAGGTACTGTGAGGCGCCTCCAGGTGGCCGGGTCGCTCGTGGACCGTAGCAAGCGCGGGAAGCTTTCCCCCTTCTGGAAATCGCCGGGCAGGTTCAGGCGGGAAAAGAGAGACTCGCCTCGCAGGCTCAGAGACTATAAAGCGGCCGGCCCGCGAGACCGGAAGACAGTCACAATGAGAGTCAGTATGAGAATCAGAGTACAGCGAGTGAGTTCTAGTGGGTGCATTAGTGGCCGACAGGTTATACGAAGTGCTGTGATAGTAACGTTGATTTCTCCTGCTGTTTTTGGACGCTCCTGGACGACCCATATGCGGCCGATCTCGATTTTCAAACTCTTGTATTTATTACATTTCCCTGCTTCCTCGGTTAGGAAATTTCGATCGAATGGCACAGCCACAGTTACTATTTGACGCGATTTCTTTCCAAAACCCGAATTCCAACATTCGATTTGTGAGCTACTTTCATACAATCAGTTTAGTTTGTTGGTTGTACAATATTGTACACAGTCCAGCAATAACCAAACGTTTCTGTGAGGGCTCGTACCTGGAAACACATGTTTGGAATTATGTGGGCGAGAAAGATCTTCCAGATAATTACAGATTCTATCATGGCTTTTAAGGGATTCGGGCTTCGCTGGAATTGATGTCATCGTGGTTATTACTTGTTCCTGACAAATGGGACATTAATCGTTCTGGAAGATGTTGAGAACCACGTGCTCTTAATATGTTCTCAACGAAGATCTTTGGGAAACATTAATACTGCTTCCACTTTCCTTTTTACTACATAAAAATAATAGTATTTTTGAACTTAACATGTCCTTTTATATTTCTTGTATATGTACGTATATACTGTAATGGGACGGTCGCACATCGCGCATGACGACACTAGCCATATATTTATTTTATTTAATTAAGAACCGCGCTGCAGTTAAGAGCAGTTGGAAATGCCATTTCCTGCTGAACCAGGTTGAGCCGCTTAGCGAGCCTACAGAAAGGCGGAAAGAGGCGCCTCTTTTGTTAAGCACAACCCCACTCCTGGGCGCATCCCTTATGACGTGTAGGGATATACTCCGCCCACGCCCCCTTCGCCGAGCAACAGAATTACCCGCGCCTATTTCCGGGAATTTAGGTGGCGTAGGTTACTTCGGGGGAGGTTGCTGGGGGCGGCGCCGCCGCCGCTGGCGCCGTGATAGGCGGAAGGGTTACAGGTGGCGCGACATCGATAGAAACAGACAATGCGGGGGAGGAATCACGTGTTACGCGAGCCTTCCTGTGGGACCGCAGAGGTACAGCTGGGGCACTTGCATCGGAGGTAGCGAGGAGGAGACTTGTATCAGAGGTAGCTAGGAGGAAACGTGTATCGGAGGCAGGAGCGAGGCCACTTAATTGGTGCCTGGCCGCCCGAATGCCACACCGACTCGCAACATCGCAGCCCGACTCGTGGGACGACAGCCGGCTGATGGGACGGGACACTACTACTGAGTGCCTGATCGAGAGGGCCATGTGATTGCGGGCTGGGGACGTGAAAAAAAACTATCGCGAAACGACCCGTCATCGCCCGGGCGCATTCCCGCCCGCGCCGAGCACGCAGAGGAGCCGCCGGCCGCCGCTGGCCTAATCCGGGGCCGTCGCCGTGACAGCAAGGGGCCGCCACAAAGGGACCTGGTGCAAGCAACGCCGTGGCCGCCCGCCGCCATACCTGCCGGGACTGGGATGCCCGAACGCTGCACCTGTGAGGTGGATCACGACCGCCTGGGAGGGCAAAGACACCGGAGCTGAAATGAACTCTGGCCATACCGGCCGTTAATAAGTTAAGATTAGATTTAAGTTAGTTATAAGTTTATTCATGTTACTGGGCTTCACCCACACACAATACGAAGTGATTAAAGTATTTTATGAAAATGCTGAAGTCTTTCTCTCAAGTAGTTCCAGTCTTGTCGTGGCGATCGTTGGGTGCGGACGTTCCTTTCGAGAGCTCCTGAGTATTAGGATGGATTCGTACCTGCAAGAGTGCCGGGCGCGCATCGGCTCGTGGGCCGGGCGCCTTTCCTCGTGTGCGGCGCGCGCATACCAGGGACAGGCCACGTGGCGCGGTGACGGTTCGCTGGGAGCAGTCTCGTTGAGTGCGGGGGAATCGAACAAAATCCCGGTCCAGTGGCCAGTACTGCAGCTAGTGCGTGTGAAAAAATAATCCGAATCGTGTGTCGTGGGTGCGGCAAGAACCTATCTTCGGGCTGGCGATGTGAATCCTGTGGCGATAGGTTCCACAAAAGTTGTGGCAACGTTAAAAGAGGGAATGGTGAGGGATGGGTTTGTCCCAAATGCAAGGTTAACTATGTGCAAAGCCTGGAAGAAAAGCTGAGAATCACGCGAAGAGAAATCGCAGATCTTAAGGTGGCCAATAAAGCCTTTAATGAGCAACTGACGGAGTTGAGAGATAAAACCGATACTCCATCCGTGCCTCAACCTGTAGATGAGAGCGCTAGAGGCTCCTGACTTATATTAGGAGACTCTATAGTGCGACACGTGGCAAACCAAGACAACAAATTGCGCGTGGAATATTTGCCGGGCATCCGTGCGGAGCAATTGAAGCATTTTGTGGAAAATTATGACCATGGAACTCCCGATAAAATAGTACTTCACGTAGGTACTAACGATTTAAAGGCAAAATCGGATGAATATATTATGGGAGAAATCCACGATCTTGTCAATGTTACCAAGACAAAGTTTCCACGCGCTTCTATCGTAGTAAGTTGTGTTCTACGACGCAGAGACATGTCCTGAACGCGCATCGGCCACGTGAATGACTTAATGAGCTGGGTTGCTGAAGCACATAAGGTCAATTTCGTTGACCCCAACTCCTGGGTGCAAGATTCCGACTTTGGTCGCGACGGACTCCACTT